TTGTGCTTATCCCAGTCTTCATACATAGATACTGTCTTGGCCAGATTCAGCATACAGGATTCCAAGAAAGGTATGTTCCCTTTCAGACATGGAATACCTCTATCTAAGGAGATGTCTCCTAAGACGTCTAAGGAGATAGAGGAGATGAAGACAGTTCCTTATGCTTCGGCAGTAGGAAGTCTCATGTATGCTATGCTATGCACTAGGCCAGATATTAGCTACGCCGTTGGCATGGTAGCTAGATATCAAAGTAATCCAGAACGGGAACATTGGTCTGCGGTGAAGCATATACTCAAGTACCTGAGAAGGACTAAGGAGTACATGTTAGTTTACCGTGCAGGCAGCTTGTTACCTCTGGGTTACAGTGATTCCGATTTCCAGTCAGATAAGGATGAAAGTAAGTCAACCTCAGGTTATGTGTTTACCTTGGGAAGTGGAGCCATTTCATGGAGGAGTGCTAAGCAGAAATGCGTGGCAGACTCCACCATGGAAGCCGAGTACATAGCAGCTTCAGAGGCAGCGAAAGAGGCAGTATGGCTCAGGAACTTCTTAGTGGACTTAGAGGTTATACCGAGTTTGCCACGTGGTATCACCGTGTACTGTGATAACAGTAGAGCAGTAGCCAACTCAAAAGAACCTCGAGCCCACAGGGCAAGCAAACACATAGAGCGCAAACACCATTTGATTCGGGATATCGTTGGTAGAGGAGACGTTGATGTTGCTAAGATTGCATCAGAGGATGCATGGCAATAGGATCGACATAGGTCTTTTAGAATAACGGATTGATAGGACTATACTGTAAAAGCGAAAGCTTTAAGTATAAGTGGGAGATTGTTAGTGTTATATACTGAAAGCTTGGCTTTGCATGTTATTACACATTTACCCTTTATGAATGAGAATCATGTTAGATTAAACAAGTTCTACGTTCTGTTGTTCTGCACTTAGATAGGGTGGGTCGTCATCGGGCGAACCGAAGATCACTCTATCAGTCACTTGCGAACAAGAATAGTTGTTCACAACCTAGATGGACATGAACACCCCATCCGAACGGTTGTAGTGTCAACTGTACAGTTTGTCTTGACTGATTAGTTGCACTAGTACATTTATGTATTGAACAGGATCCCAGAGAGGAGAAGTTCATTTTATACTGATCGTCGTAAATGAACTAGGCCTCGGTTAATTACTGCGTTCTCTTAACCCGTAAGATATTAAACAGGCAGATATATATAATATATATTACTTTGATTCACATGGGTGAGGTTCAGTTCGCTGGATTAATATTCCTACTGTTTTGGGTAATATTATTATATATAGGATGTGCTGTTAGGATATTTACGGTCACCATGTGCGTTAGTTTGATGATGTCCCCGGAGTGAGTTCATGAAGGATTGTTATGCTAAACCCTGCAGGTGGATTAAGTTCCGGCATAATAAGAATGTGATGAACGAGCGCTAGCTTCGGTGAAATAATAATAAATTAATTAATTCTTGATTATCAGTAATCGAATTAATTAATGGACATTATATCTTAAGCGTGGGGAGGTAAATTGAGTAATTATTATTGGAGTCTCAAATGTAATTTGGGCTAGGGAAAGGGAGTCCAATAATATAATGTTGGTGGCCCATTAATATTATTTAATTAATTAGAGGAGTGGGTTTGGCCCACAGTTAGTCTAATTAATTAAGGAGCCCTTTTCATAATCTCCTTAGGATCCCTACTGTAGCTCTATATATACATCATTAAGCTCATGAGAAGAGAATAGAAATCCTATTCTCACGTGAAACACGTCTCTCTCTCTAGATCTCATTCGAGTTTTATCTTCTTCTTGTTGCTCCACTGGTACAAGTTGAAGAAGGGTGTATTGAGTAATACAGTAGAAGATCTGTAGGTAAACCGAGACGAAATAGATTTTGACCTACAGAACTAACCGGAAATCCGATTGAGACGTACAGTATACCCAGACGACCGTCTCGACGAGAGCTTTCCATCGCCGCCGACGTCTCCGGAATCCGACGCTGCACGCGCCCTCACGCGCTGTCGGAAGGTGTCTGGCAGCAAAATTTCGTTTTGATCTGTTTGCATCCGTTTGATCCAGTTTTGATCTGATCTTGTTCGTGCAACCCAAGACGCGTGTTGCGGTCAATCAATTGCGGTCAACCGTTCGTGGTCAACCAGATCTACATAAATTTTAAGCCGTAAGTTCTCTACGTCAAACCATTAGATCCGCTGCGCATAGGTTTACGTTTGCTATTGAATTCGTGATTTGTACATAACGAGATCCTCAGAGATCCCAACACGGCGTACCCATGAAATTGTCCGACATGATGCAAGTATGGATGAGGTTGGCGTACTTGTCTTTCGATTGAAGAAGGGAGCGGGCTCGGCGGGCGTTGGCTCGTCGGCGGAGGCGCTAGCTCGTCGTGGCGACGGAGGCTCATCGGGTGATGAGGGCTTGTCGAGGGGGACGCACGATCGGTGGTGCTCGCCGAACGTAAAATCGCCGAGGGAGAGATTGAGAGTTTTCTTCTTGTCAGAGAGAAAATTTATGTGATATGAAGAGAGTGGAGAAGAGAAGGTAGTTGAAGGGGTGAATGATGAATGATAGAGATGGAGGTATTTATAGTGAAGGTAGTTGAATCTTGGTTGATCTCAACCACTCGCTTGAAGTATGATCTAAGGTGGAGAAAAAATCTTGGGGAGGAAGCTAGGTTTTGTGTTCCCAAGGGAATGGGTAGGTGGAAATTGAAGGAGTATGGGTAGGTGATTATGTTGGGTCACATCTTTCTTTTTCGGTAGCTAGGCTCGGCGGGTCGGCGGATCCTCGACAGCTCGGTGGGTCCTCGGCATCTCGGGGTGCTCGTTGTTGGCTCCTCGGTCGGTCGGCAATGATGGCAGCT